TATGGTGGTTACGAGATCAGTCAAATCGGCCAAACCCGTACAGATATTTGTTTGTGAAAATAACAGATAAAATATAAAGTTTTTCTTAAGAAACATTTGATACCTATCTGGACATTATAAAGATTTCACATGTGAAATTTGAAATTTTTCTGATGCATAAAAGTATTTTTAATTTTAAAATGAAAATTACTTTTCATGTTGGATAGGTAACATGAGAAAAACATTGCTTTAGAAAAATCAAAATTAAATATCTTATTTTTCAAAAACTACATACTTATAGGACCTTTCATCTCAAATTTAAAAGAATTTGATCCACTATTTTCATTTTTGTAAAGAACTTAAATGAAAGTTGCATACTTACTTACAATATTAAGTAGGCTGCAGCCAAAGTGTTAAAGATATCACTGTAGTTATGTCTCATTGAGGAGTGGTACATTAATTATAATATTAATAATTATGTTATTTTTTCCACCATGTAGCATATTTCAGACTATTAAAATCAAGTGTTTGAACTTGGTGGTATAATACATTATAGCTGTATTTTTTGCTCAGTGTAACTTTGCCATCTAAAAGCATGGCTTACAGTATTTAGTGACTTAAACATGCCTACAGCATCAGGACCTCAGCAGCATAAGAAACAAACAAAGGTCACTGACTTATGAGATGGAAATTTTAATGAGAAAGCAAAAGGTTTTCTAAGTAAATTGTTTTTATGGACAGGACGTAAAAAGTTTTTAAAAAAAGAAAGCTTTTTTGTTAGAAATCTTAAAATTGAAACTTAATTTTGACAAGTATGTTAAAATTACTTTTGTGTCTTATCAAATGTTTATTTGAGTAAAGGTTAGATGAGCTAGTCAATACTATACTTGTGCTAATCTTTATTATATTTACTTGCCTTGGGTCAGATTAATTACTCTATCAATTATTAATCGTGTCTGTTATTTGACTACAGAAATTTGGAAATGAAAAATGTATAATAATACTATGGTAAACACAGTAAAAGGTGTACATTAAAGAAAAAATTAAAGTTGTGAAGAACAAAAAACTTAAATTTGATTGACCAAAGCTTCAGCCGTCTGAATAAGTATCTTTTTTGTAATACTCTTTAAAATAATTTGCTTTGAATTATTATTTTAGGGGTTACCAATTATTTTTTAGTTTCCCATAAATACCTCTAACATTTAATGTGAGGAAGCAACTGAATAAATGCCGATGTCTAACTGAAAAACGACTACTCAGACAAGCTATTTGCCAATTTCTTTTATAAAAGAGATTATTTGATTTGACTAGAAAATGTATAGTTACATTAGTCTTTTTTTTTAGAAGGAAATTGTACATGTTTTGACCAGATACCAATATAATTGTATAGGTATTCCTGTCATTATAAGTGAGAAGAGAAAGACCTTTCCATTCATTATAAAACATTCCAACATGAATGTATAATTTTTACTCATCCAACAAAAAGGCAAATTTTCAGGGACAAATTTGAAGCAGTAGTATGGGGTATTCTTAGCACTGACTGTGGACATGCTTTACTAACAAAAACTATAATAGAACATAAAATAAAGATAGGAAAAAATCAGAAATGAAATACATTATCAATTGATGGTTTAAGCTAGTGTTAAAGAACAATGAGTTTGCTCTCTCTCTAGCTGTATCGTGAATATTTATTTATTTTTACCAGATATGGCTGCTATACCTGATTTTTCGGCTGGAGCTATGGAAAATTGGGGACTTGTGACCTACAGAATGAGTGCCATACTGCATGATCCAAAGGAGTCTTCTTCAGACAGCCAAGAGTTGGTAGCAATTGTTATTGCTCATGAATTAGCTCATCAGGTAAGAAATAAAAAGTATAAATGTATGAATTTTCAGAGTTTAATTTTTTTATACAGAACAGGATTATGATTGTAATTTTGTTTTGTGAAATGTTTTTTATGCTTTTCTATTTAGAAAGTTTGCTCACTGAGTATAAACAATATGTATTGTGTTGCAAGATGATTGTATTAAGTGTATTATATGACCTTAAGAATATTATATTGGGTGATGTTCCCAGGGGTCTAATTATTATTCACGAGAAAGACTGTTTCTAAGTTTTTGCTATCTTCAGATAGGAGAGTATGGACATGTGAGATACAAAGTATGCTATTTATTGCAAACATTTTGTGATGGGATGGAAAGTTTCCCAAGATAATTTGTATTTGGCTGCTATGAGGCACTCAGTAAGAAAGCTTACTGTGATGATTGAGCCATCAAAAACCCAAACCTTAGTTCAAGCACCAAATACATATGTAGTAGATACGTAGAAACCTGCATTATATAAATTACTGTAACTGAAATCTTATATGCCCAGTCTTAGCAGAAGCATATATTGAGCTAATTAATATATAATGGTAAACAAATTTCCGGCAGCCATATTCTTTTGTTTTTTTTTCATTTTGTACCCTAAGCAGAATGAAAGTAATCACATAAAAAATAGTATATATGGAATTTGACTTGCAGGTACTAAACATCACATAATAAGTCTTGTAAATGTAACAGCACAAGGTATTGTTAAGCTTATACACACTACAGTGTAAATCTACAAAACACAAGAGCTTGTTTCATATAATTTAGGTTTGATCATGTCAGTTCAATCTAATTTTTTGCTTGAACTTTGCAGATGAGTATACAGCTATTTACAAAATTCATGATAGTAGTTGAAATGTATTTCTTTATAATGTAAGACACAGTAAAATAATATTCCCAGTGTGTTCCATAACAATAATAATTCGTTTCTATTGATTAGCGTCAAACAAAAGTTGGTAAGATATATATTTGACTGAGGAATAAAGAAATGGGTATGAACATCTAAAAAATTTTTGAATATACTAAAAAGTATGCTAGAATGATAATTGTGAATCAGGGCTTACATTCTATAAAGACAGTATTTTTCACTTTCTGGCCAGAAGTTGTCTTTTTTTCTGTGCTGTTTGCTACATTAAAGCATAGAAAACAAATATAGAACAATGAAAACATCAGAAGACACACTGTGCTTCTAATTACTTGCAGCTACAAAATGAAAAGGGGGTTTCACTTGTAATAAATGCAGTTGACATGGGTGTGACCAAGATGGGATGTCCATTGAAAAAAAGTTTTCAAGGAAAAGAAGGCAAAGAGAGAGATTTCAAACTTTGTAGAGGCTATCTTTTGTTACTGCTTTTATTCAAGTATTTCTATTTATTGTTTGCACTGAAATTTATAAGTTTCTTGCAAGTTTACACTGAAAACAGTGATTGATCTTTATCAAAATAGGTTAACTTTGTTAATCAGTTGGAACCTGTATTGATGATGTGAAAATTTATCATCGAATTTTATGTATTTTGGCCTGGTTAAGTCAGAAATTCAGGGTTAATAAAAGTTAGCTTAAGATAATTCTAACACTTAAAATCCTTTAAAAACATTATTTTGGGGCATAGTTTAGAAAGGTTTTGTTTTGAGATGTTTTGTTAAATCTTTCCAATAACATAGTATAAAGTTGTGAAATGTAATTACTCTCTTGGTTGTCATTTATATGACATTAATCTTTTTTATTGTATTGCATTATATCAAATGAGTATTACACAAAGTGATGCTCTTAGTTGCTATTCTGAAAGGTCATGAGTTTATCTATTGTTAACACTGTTAAATTTTAGCAAGTTTAACATGCAATGTACACTATCCTACCAAAAGTCATGGGACACAGATAGTTATGAATAAAACGTCTTTATTCCAAGAAATTATTAGCATGTTGGCCTGCCTTTTGTCTTAATGACTGCTTCAATGTGTCGAGGAAAACTGTCTGCTAATTTCTAGTAGAAAGCTGGTGGTATTGTGCTCCACACGTCCTTTAAAGCATTAGTAAGGCTCCATTACTGAAGAGGGCCATCTTGGCCTTTCCCTAATTTGGTGTTCCAGTTCATCCCAAAGATGTTTAGTTAGGTTGAGGTCAGGGCTCTGTGCTGGCCACTGCAATGTTCTAATGTTATTCTCTTCAAACGACGCTTTCACAATCTTTGCTTTGTGACATGGAGCATTATCATATTGCAAGGTGTAAAGGCCGGTACCATAAAATTGCCACAATGTAGGACACACAGAATTGTTCAGAACATCGATGTTGGACTCAGCATTCATGGATCTAAGCACTGTGACCAGTGGACCTAGTTCATACATGAGGAGCACCCCCAGACCATGATACCACCACCTCAAAACTTCACTGTTGGGACAACACACTCCGGTAATAAGAGTTCTCCAGGCATCCTCCATATACAAACACATCCATCAAACTGGAAAAGTGTGTGTAGCGCGGCTAGTTGCTCCACAGGACTGATTTCCATTGATCCACAGTCCAGGTTTGGTTTGACTTGCTCCATGCCAGTCGATGGTGGGTATTTGTTTTTGATATCAGAGGCTTGTGGGCTGCAGCTCTTGATGTGTTGTGAAAACACTTATAGAATTGCCTGTGGCTGCTTGCATCTCCAAGTACAGATTATCTAGAGTCCGATGGGAGATGAGGTAACCAGCCTTCTCAAGGTGCATTGGCTCCTGTCAGTCAGTATTTTACAACTACCTGGTCATTTCTTGGGCTCATTATCACCTGTGGTCTTCCGTTTCTTTAGCACTTTTCCAATAGTTGACCTGGGAATGTTTTATTGTCCCGCAATAGTATGTACAGACATTTTCTCCAAATGACATCCAACTATCCTTCCTCTCTGAAACTCTGTTAGCTTTTTCTGAGTTCTTATCATTCAGCATACAAGGTCGAAATGACTTCCAAGCAAACTGCTGATCACTTTATATTTGCATATTTCATCATCACATCCATTTTCCTGCAATCAGAGGTGTGTCCTATGACTTTTGGTAGGATAGTGTATATCTAAATACTGTTAAAATATAGTAGATTTCATAAGACCCAGAAAGTTCTGAAGAAGAATAGTTGATAGTTCATGTTTCTGAAATATACTTTATATATATGTTAAATATATGTTTTGCTAATCTCTTTGTTAATTGTTTCATCAGAATGTTAAGATATTTTAATGTAAGTGCAATAGATACATGAAATATGCTCTTTTATCAGTTTCAAACTGTCAATCTAATATTCTCATTATCTGATACATAAAGCAGCTAGGCAGCTTTATGACATTAAACTTGTTTCACTATAATTCTTGAGTAACTCATAAACACTGCCAAATTTATTTTTCTAGTGGTTTGGAAACTTGGTTACAATGAAATGGTGGAATGATCTGTGGCTAAATGAAGGCTTTGCCACTTATGTTGAATTCATAGGAGCTGATTTTCTTAAGCCTGAGTGGCAAGTGGTGGGTGTCAATTTCATGCTTGTATTTTATGAACATATACATTTGCATTTGCTTTGAGTGTCAGGTACACTGAAATATATTAAGTGATGTATGCTGATAATTTTTTCTTTATATTTATCTGGAATATGTGGCTAAAGGTATACCATGTAAGGTGTATATCAACAAATTTTTTTTCAAAAGATACTGTTGAAGAATGATGCAGTGTTAAAAGTACCATCATTAAGTGAAAAAAATTAAATTTGAATACAGTTCTGAACGTTTGGTTTGTACTTCTAACCAACTACTAATGAAATGGTTTTAGTGAAACTACATATTACTATTAACAGGTTTCAGTATGAGTTTATGGTAGAGGCTATAGTATAGTTAATAATTATGTTCAGTGTAATCTCCTAGCATTGCTGTAAACTTGAAAAACACGCTAAGTCCATACAAGTTAATTACATGTTTATATAATGTTTCATCTTTCAAAAGATTTTTGTTGAACTTTTTCTTACTTGGTTTTTTGGTTTGCAGAAAGAACAGTTCATTTTCTCTGTCACCCAACATGCACTTCAAATGGACAGCTTAAAATCTTCTCATCCTATTACCTCTGATGTAAAGGATCCAGCTGAAATCAGTGCTAATTTTGATGCCATATCCTATAAAAAGGTAAGTCAATTTAAAACCTTTTACTTTTGATAGATAATTTACAGTTTACCAAAGTAAATTCTCATACATTGCTTTGCTTAACCTTATATCTTGCTAAACATTAACAGCAATTAACTGTGGTAATATCCTTTTAAACAACAGTTTTACAGTTGCACTTTCTTAACTTCTAAGCATTTTCAAAAAAATGTTCCTCATTTTTTTGCAATACAATTATTAAGTTGTTATATTTTAGGTAATAATAAGCCTTACTTTTACGAACCCCACCATGAGATTCAACTCTACCTAGCATAGGTGACATAATGTCAGTAGTGATAACTTCATGTGTGAGGTATTTTTTGAAGAATAGAAGATTTAGTGGACAAGACAATCTAGAAACCTATACAACGATGCTGAGCTTTCTGGCAAGATTCTTCACTGGTGCTTTGTAGTGTAATAACAGTACATTTCACCATTAAGTCACTGCCCTTTTCAGTTAGAACATTCCAGCTCCACTGTGAAGTTCAGACATCAACCAAGTAGGAGATTGCCTGAAAGGCACCTCAGAAGACAGTAATTTGTGGACAGGTGCTAAGGTAATTGGTCACCACCAGATCACAGATGCCCCATGTGGAATAAACATCTGGTACCATGGGAAGCTGTGGAAATCAGCCTAGAAAGAATGTCAAGATTGGGCAGAGGTTGAAGCAGTAAAACCTTGTCAAGAAAAGGAAGAGATGTGGAATCAGTAGGACATTATACAGCCAGAAGACCACGGATAACATTGGTAGAAGAACTTTTCCACCTCCTAAAAGGCAGCCAGCCTCCATATGAAGTCAGCATAACCACTCAGACTGTCACCTGGTGCTCAACTCAACCCTACAAAGGTTTTGAGAACTTAATTGTGAAATATTAGGATTATATCTGTCATCATGGTGTTTGTATTTCTTTTTGGATAATATGTTTTGCCGCAAGAAGTGTTTGGTCATAATGGATGTTTTTCAAGTATTGTCTCAATTTTGCTTTTTGCACGACATTTTTGATGTGTTTTAGTGGCTACTCATGGGAGTGCTACATTTTTCTGATGAGCAGAATTATTGATTTTAAAACCATTGTATAGTTAAAGTTAGGTTTTAGAGCCTAAAATAGTACTTCTTTCATATCATCCTTACAATAGTAATATACCACATAAAGTTGTACTGTATTATTCCAAATGCTAATATCACCAATTAACCCTTTCACTGCAGCTGGGATGTATATTTCCCAGTGCACTGGGAAATATATAAATTGTAGCCACAGTGATTGGGTTAACACTTTTGTGATGGGCATCCTTTACTGCACATGACACAAGGTTTCAGTGACTAACATTCAAAAGTTTATTAAACTACTTTTTGTTCATGTTATACCAATTAATATGGCATAAAAACTTAGCTAATAATCCATATTTTAATAGTATATAAGTTTTAAGTTCTTAATTCATGAAATATTTTAAAAAATCCTGACCTACTCCTAGTGTTACACATGTAACACATTTTTTCTAGGCATTTCTATTTTCTCCAACATCCCTTCAAAATGTACAAAATTAAACATAAATTGCTTCATATAGTATTGTCATTGCTCAGACAAACCATAATTTTTATAGCCTTCAATTTTTTTTGGTTACAGAGCTATGAAATAGAAAATCACATCTGTCCTGCCACACCTACCTGTCACATCCTTTGTTTCAGACTTTGATAATAGTTCTCTTTTACATTTAATTATATATTACCTATAACCAATAGAAAGTCAAGGATTTTATCTATCAAATGACGTATTTCACTCAGAGTACAAGCTTCATTCCTATGGGAAAGTTAATGACTAGCTTGGATGAATTTGTGATAGCTCTTGTCCCATAGTTAGAAAGCCAGAAAAATTTTGAGAGTTAGGGGAAATTGTCTAATTTTTACATGTTATTAGTCTATATTCTTTGGTGCATTATTTAACCCTTTCGATCACGGGTGAATAGCCACATCATCTCCTTTGTTGTCTTGCATTCAAAATTTTATTGAACTACTATTTCATGAATTTATGTCAATAAGTTTAGTATCAAACTGTAGATTACAATTCAAATTTTAATACTATATATAATACTCAATTTCTTAATTTAAAAGCAAATACATTTTTGAACTACTGTTTCATGTATTTATGTCAATAACTTTGGTATTAAACTGTAGATTACAATTCAAATTTTGTACTATATATATAGTACTCAATTTCTTAACTTAAAAGCAAATATTAAAAACAACAACAGATAAATATTGATTTTTGTGTGTCACATGGTATGTTTAATGCAGCACTGGTTCAAATTAGATGTTTGTGAAGTCAAAATACTAAGTCTATAGTTTTGAATGAATTAGAAACTCAAATTACCAATATTGACAAGCTAGAATTTAAAATAAGAGCCTCTTATTTTTTCAGTTTACTAAGATATTGCTCATGTAATAAATCAAACATAGTGGCACCTTATCCACCTCTTTCCATTTTTGGAAGTGCTCCCTTATATACACTTACTCCTATATATGATATGAATAACCAATAGGAAGCTCAGAATGTCACCCTAGTAGCTTTCTCAGTCATTTTAATGGACTTGGTGCCAATTATTTCTTTTGAACCAATATTTCAACTCGTTAGGGTGTGTCTTTAGTCTGCTCGAAATTTTATATATTTTTAGACTAAAATACATCTTAGTTACTAAGCTTTATAAATTATAGTGGAATTCTATAGTATTAATGTAGTAATTTATGATTATTTAGTTAATCAAATTTATATATAAAACCAAAAAAAAATATTGTTTAATATCCTCCATGTGCAAAATTTTTAAAGGCTTAGCAACCTGCATCTAGCAGCAAACGAGTACAAAGGATTGAAACTAGAAGAGATAATTTTTTCTTTACTTCTTTATCTACTGTTCTTTGTTTTAGGAAAAATATGTTTAAGAAGTTATTTCAAAAGAGCAATAATCTATATACATATATAATGTAT